CCCCCATCCCCCCCAACTCCCCTCCCTTTCCCTTCCCTCCTTCCCCTCCCCCCATGGTTGCTCTGTGCGCCCCGCCCCACCTGGCCACTCCAGATTCTGGTTGAGAGCTAGCAGGCAGCACCTGAGCTCACCTCCACCCACCTCGTCCAAAGCCCTGGTGAGGGGCTGATGAATTCTCCAGGAATTTCCCTTCCCCTAGCTGGCAGTTTCCCACCCACACTCTGCCCGTGGGGATCCACAGACTCCTACCCACCCAGGGTCTCCCTTCCTCATCAGGTACAGGTCAGGGACTGTCCATGCCCCACCCCCAACCTCCTCCCCAAAAGCTTAGCTTGGCTTCAGGGGGAGAAGATTCCCAAGAGTCTTGGCACTCTGAACCTACCCAGAAGAAGGGGACCCACCTGGGCGAGAAGGAAGGGGCTGAGAGTGGTCAGCTGCGGCCCAAGAGGGAGACACCAGGGCCGGGCCAGCTCCCGTCTGCAGGTGTCTCCCAACCATCCTTTAAGGCCTTCTGGCCTCACCTGGAGATTCTCCCAAAGGGAAACTGGGGCTTTGAGGCCAGAGGCCCTGAGGCAGGGACTCCATGAAGTAAGTCACTCGGCTGCTCAGGCCCAGAGGCCCTTTCCCGCACCTGGCACTGCTACTATGGAGGCCAGGTGCCCTGTCCAGGGGTGACTCTTCCCTGATGGCCTGCATGCTCCGGGGCCAACCGGAATCAACTGGATCATATCCTTTGGCCGCCCTCACTCAGGCGTTCACAAGAGAAGGGTCCCTAGCCTCCTACATTCGTTAGCTATGCAGGAGGGATGCCTGAACCCAGGGTTCCAAGGCACGTCCCCAAGGCGACTCACCCCACAATCGGATACAAAGACCAGCTGCTCTCTTGAGGGGAGAGAGACTCTTCTATATGGATAGATTGGAAAGGGGGCCACCCTGTTCTGATAACACTAAACTTTGGATCCAGACACTTGGGCCAAAGATGCAAAGAGAAAGATCTGGAACCAAGAGTTAGTCTCTGGGTTCACCACCTGGAGAGCAAACAGGTGAGCGGAGGGCTCATCCCTGGCCAGCTCCCACAGCTGTTGCCTTCAGTTTATGTTTGTTTGTTTTGCTATAAAAGTGATAATGCTTATTATCTGGCAACTGCAGAAAAGTCAAAACAGAAATAATTTGCCTGCGTTTCCACCATCAAAAGTCAACTGCTTCTAAGTGTGAGATGAAGCTGTGGATTTATTGTGAGACAATTTATAGTTGTATTGTTAATTTTAAAATTCTTGTGAGTTGAAGATGCACTCAACTATTATCAGTAAAATGATGTGATGTCTGCGTTTGTTTGAAGAGTACTGCAACAAAAACAAATTAATTGAATAGTAAATAGGAGGGAGACACACAGGATTAGCCAAGCATTGATCATTGTTGAACGGAGGTGGGTACATGGTGGGGGGGTTTCATTTCAAGTCTTCCTCTATTTTGTTTTATATTTGAAAACTTCCAGAATAAAAATGCTTTAACACCGGACTTCGCAGAAACGTCACCGGTGTGTACTCCTAGCGGCGGATTCTCCGCCCTGGGCCGTTTTTGTTACAGGTTTATTTTCATAGGATCGCCATCTGACCTTGTTTGCACCCCGCTTGCTTTTTTGTTCTCCCCATCCTTACTTCGAAGTGTGCATTAAAACCCATTAATTCGGTCTCCGCAGACATTCATTAAGTCTTCAACCTCTCTCTCTCCCGGAACCTGTCCCTGCCCACATCTCTCCCCCACTGGCCCTGGCACCCCTCTGGGTCCCGAAGGCCGGGGCCGCCATCACCTCCGCCCGGGAGGCCTCGGAGAGCCGCGGAAGACTGGTCTGCGCTGCCAGGCGTCGCTGGCGCCGCCTCCCGGCCCTCGCGGTGGGAGTCGCCCGCGGACCGGGGTCCCCCGCAGCCCTTGCAGCCCAGGTCCCAGGTCCGACCCCGCTGCCAGTTCGGGGGACTAAGCCACGCGGCCGCACCTCTGGCCCTGGGTTCGCCTGTGCGGTGTCTCGGAGCCTCCTTGACGCTCTCGGCGCCCGG